CGTAACTTGTCAGTGAACTACGGCTCTGTGTAGTAAATGCTGCTCCATCTGAAAGCAGGTGATGGAGATTTACTACTGATCACAGAACTGGCTTTACTGACGAGATGCACATGCCAATCGCCTTAGAATAATCATGCAGCCCTAAAAACTATTATTATATTTGTCTACAAATGTACAAGTATAAAACAACTTAAATGTGTTTTTATATATATTATTTTTATTATATAAAATATATTTTTAGATATATAAAAGAACTAATATTTTTAGATATCTAAAAAATATATACAAATGATATTTATATTAGTGCTGTCAAATGATTAATCGCGATTAATCGCATCCAAAATAACACACACAGATACACACACACACACACACATACAGGAGGATAGATCGTCTCTCCCAGTGTGTTCTGCTTGCAGGAAATCCCTCACTTACTGTTTCCTGTGTCTGTCTCCTAATAAAACATCCTGTCTGATAAGAGATCAGAGCAACACGACTGATTATTTACAGTCTCATCACAGCGCCGCCTACAGGACACACACAATGTCAACTGTGCTGAAGTGTGTGTGTGCGTGTGTGTGTGCGTGTGTGTGTGTGTGTGTGTGAACTCATCATTTAAACATGCATAAATTCAATATATATATATTATTTCATTTCCATTTAGTTTGTTGAAGTATTAAAATAACTCAAATTAAATAAAACTAAAAACTTAATAAAATACTTATACAGACATAATAAATTCAGACATAATGTAACTAAAATTAAAATAAATAACAAATACAAATAATACAAATCAAATGACAGTAGTTTATCAGTAATCCTACAAAATAACACTGCCAAACTTACATGCTAAAAAACAACAACTTACTTACACATAGTAAGAAATGGTTATAAAAACTGAAACAGAAGCGAAACAAGTAGTAGGAAAGAGGAGAAATAAAAAGCAATACTTATTTCTTTATATTTTTGTCTTTTAAATTGAAGTGTAATTGAGAAGAGATCATGAAAATACAGTTGACATTTCCTCACCCTCATGTAATTCAGAGATGTTTTATTTTTATATTTTTTGTTTTCATTTGAATTTTGAAGTTTTAGTAACTTTTGTGTTTTAGTAAGTTTGTTATTTTTATTATATATTTTTATTTATTTTCTTAAAAAAATTCTTCAAATGTCTACATAGTTTTTATTAATTTTATTCATTAATTTTTAAAGTTATGTTTTAGTTAACTATAATAATTCTGTATATATATACATATACATACACATACACACGTGTATATATATATATATATATATATGTTTATATCACAATCAATATCATTAATATGTAATCTCTGTCTCTGTGCAGGTTCTACTCTTCTCCGTACAGCATCACTGCTAACAGGATGATCGCCCAAGTGTCCATCACTCCGTTTATCACCACTTCACCCATCTCTACATATCAGGTGTGTGTGTGAGTGTGTGAGTGTGTGAGTGTGTGAGTGTGTGAGTGTTAAATTCAATTAAATCATATTAAATCATATTAAAAGCATATGTCTTCATCTCATATGAGTGGACTTCATCTTAAACCAACCTGACAAAATTAATATTCATTTGATTAATTAAAGAACATTATTTGTTATTGAATTATTGAATTATTTCTAGAATGAATTTAACGTGCATGAATGTAAATAATAATTTATAATTTATTCATACACACACATATATATATATATATATATATATATATATATATATATGTA